CTAAAGGTTTGAAGTTTCCCCTTCTCTTATATCCTGCCTTCCCCAGCCATGCAGTGTATCCAGCACAGAGTGCCACAAGAACCAGGACCTGGCTGAGGACTTTTCTGTGGGTCACCTCTTCTACTTCTCTTGGGAATCGCAGAGGCCCTCAGGCCAAAGTCATTACAGGATAATATTTAACCTTTATTGCCTTTCTCAATCAGGGTCATGGGGTGCCCTTCACGTTTTTCAGTATTTTGCTTTTCCTCCTTTTCTCCAAGGCATAGCAAGGGGGTTTCCTGCACTCATACAACTTGCTCACACCTCCCTTGTTCCTAAATGATCAGGACAGCCTGGGAGGACCAACACAGTCTTGTTTCCTCATAAAACAAGAAGCTGTAGCAGTAGGCTGTCATAATGGTCTTGACATCAAAACAGAAACAGGTAAAGAAGCAGAAACCCAGTCCCCTAGCCTGTGAGCACATTCTTCCTGCACCAAAAGGAGAGGAGAAGCGTTGCATAACCATAAATGTCCCCCCAAGCTGGTCCCAGGACAGAGAGAGCTGCAGGAATACACATTTTCAAACTGAGAGATTGGTGCACCAAAAGGCCACGAAGTCCCATGTGAGGTCCTACTGCCCCACTACTCTACCTCTAGCAGCATCCTAGAGCATGGCCAGGGAAAAAGGACTCTAGCACACACCTGCGTGATACATCCCCAAGATACCCTTCCACCAATTTGCAGCCAGGAGCTTCCTACACCACAGATGTTGTTTTCAGTCTGGCCTTTTGAAAACACACTTTATGCCGCTTCTTTTTTTTTTCCTAACAGTTTAAAAGCAAGTTCATTTTAACTCTTAAGTTTTAAAAAGGATTAAAAAAAAGCACACTAGAAGTTGTTGTGTAACTTGAGGCTATTTTGGGTTATGCTGGACTTGCCATATTCTCTGTAGTCCTTTCACTTGCACACGGAGGACATGCTCAGCGTATTTTAATTAGCAAATACTGATCAAACATGCATGTTTTACCAGACAAGGATCTCCAATCCATGCAACACATTTCAAGGAAATCAAGTGCTAGAAGCTTAGCTTCAAAGGCATTCAATGTCAGAAGGTCTAGAAGCCTTTTGCAGCTCTGAGTCAGAAAAACACCAGAGCATCCTTTGGGATGCTGGTCTAAGAGCACAGCATACTGTGAATGTATAGCAGATAGTTTGGCTTGTGCAAACAGCACTTTGGTGGAGCTATTTGTGGAGCTACTAAAATCTTGGTAGCTCAGCATGAAAAAAAAGGGCCCCAGCCTTACACTGAGCTTAACTCCATCAGCTGCGCTTCACACCATATAACACCTTCACTGTTGCAATTACACATCCAGAAATTAAACCACATTGACATGCCAGGCACCCTGAATCTTCACCTTTCTAACCCTGCACTCTTTTGTTATTCATACCTAGGCTTTGACTGGAGTTGTAAAATAGGTGGCCCAGCCTTGTGATGTGCTAGCAGGTATGTACCCAGTTTTACCCTGGCTAGGAGATGAGTTTGGAATCCAGAACTGCTAATCCTGCCCCGTCTTACAGAGACAACTGAGGAGGAGGGGACAGAAGCATCTCAAGGGAGAAACTGGCAGACTGCAAACAGCTTGGAAAGAGGGTAACAGCAAGGCAAACCCTTAGGGGGGACACAGATTCATGTGTCAATTAAACGGCCCCTCACCATCACTTCTATTTGTCATGTGCAACAATAGGAGAAGATCCTGTGAATTGTCAAAGGCAGCATTCGATAACTGCAGCATGGCCAGGCACAACCCTTCCAGCAGGTTACATTCTCCATCTCCAGGCCTGTGATTTCCCTAGCGTGGAGAAAAATGATTCAATAATAAGCAGCTGCCCTACAGTTTCTAAGGGCACCTATCCTCACTGGTAATGTCATGGCCTTTTCCATCACCCCCTGATCCCAATGTACTAAGCAAGGTCACAATATGCATCAAAACTTCCAGCTAGATCATAGGTTCACAGCCTATGCCAGCCACAGCCAGCCTGCAAGGCATTTTCTTTCACATCACATCTTGGACTGACATTTCTACTCAGAAACACCTCAAGCCATCTTCCACAGCAGTACCACAGAGAGGCTCTGCCTCTCTGTCCAGCTCATGCTGTCTATCCTCATAAGCAGAGCTGACAAGATTTCATTCACCTAAGCCCCTCATAGTAGATGAATGAGATCAGTGACTCTGACTCCACATGCTGTATAGCTTTTGTCATCTAACTGTGGCCCAACCTTTCTTTTCCCTAAAGGACTGAAGAATGCTTAGTGCCCTGACTACCTGAGTGGTATCACGCTCCTATTCCAGGTCACTGTAGTGCCAGTCCCATCAGTGCATCTTTTAGGAGAACAGCATGTCTTAGTCTTGCCAAAATTCTCTCTCCCCTTTATTCTGAATTGATCACAGCACATCATCTACATCATGTGTGGATCAGCCAGGAACCCAGAAGTCAAACTGGAAGATGCACGGGTGAAGACCTCAGCTGCTTGAGGCAACAGCTGCATCCCACTTACCCAAACACTTGCTCAAAGCCTGTCTCAGCACTGAGAGGCAGACACACACATGTGTTCCATGAGGAAGTCTATATGTCTCATGGAGCAGAACATGCCATGTTTTAATGGCTGAAACATCACAGCAGTAATTGTTCTCACATAACACCAAATACATTGTCATGGTGGTCTGCTCTCTTTCATGGGCCACTCTCTCAGTGGTGGTACAAGGAGAGACAACTTCTGTTTTTCCAGTACCATCAACTAAGCTCTCAAGTTATACGTGGTGGCAAAGAGCTAGCTGTGCTCCTGTTTACTGCAGTATGCCAAGGCCCACCGTGTTGTCTGCTGCAGGGATCACACCCACCACTTGGTAGAATTGAGGCGCAACGAGGACATTGTTACCTCCCACTGTCTGAGCAGAGCACAGAACAGATACTATTTGAAGAGACAGAAAAATCACAAGCAGCTGCAAGCTCATGAGTCACACAGACATACGGTAACTGCTACTTTAAAAGACTCCAGAACAAAAAAATTAGGTACATGAAAAAAATAGATCCCCAACCTGTGTCAGTCCACAGTCTCCACTGAAGTTGTTCAGCCACTCATCTCCGCAGCAGAGACTGATGTGGTACATTATGGGAAGCTGTTAAACCAAGTAATTGTGGCAGAGCTTAGTGTTTTCAGTGAGTCAGGATCGTATCCCAGGCAGGCTGTTTTCTAACTTACTGTCACTGAGAACCGGAGACAGTGCCATTCACCGGCTGTCTCTGCAGAGAAGTCTCTGTCTGAAGGGAGACACAAGTGTTCCCCAAATTGCGGAGAAAATGTCTTGGTGAAAATAACATTAAATATTCAGGGTCCAGCTCCTCTCAACTGCTCAGCTAGAGTCATTTACTCTGTTGTGGTTTAAACCCAGTCAACAACTAAGTACCACACAGCCACTTGCTCACCCCACCAGTGCAACAGGGAGGAGAATCAGAAGGTGGCAAAAACCCACAGGTTGAGGTAAGAACAATTCAATAATTGAAATAATGTGAAACATAGTAAGAATAGAAATAACAATGAGTAACAATAATAATAGGAAAAAAAGAAGAGGAATAAAACTCAGGAAACCCAAGTGATGCACAATACAACTAACTGATGCTCAGCCAATCTACCGAGCAGGGATCGGCCCCTCCTGGCTAACTCCCCCCAGTTTATATACTGAGCATGATGTTCTGTGGTATGAATATCTCTTTGGCTAGTTTGGGTCAGGGGTCCTGTCTCTGCTCCCTCCCGGCTTCCTGTGCCCCTTCTCACTGGCAGAGCATGGGAGACTGAAAAGTCCTGGACGTAGGGTAGGCACTACTTAGCAAAAACTAAAACATCAGTGTGTTGTCAACATTATTCTCACACTAAAGCACTGTACAAGGTGCTAGGTAGACAATTTACTGGATACCATATGAAACCAGGATATACTCACATTTTCACATTTAATTCATATGAACTAACCCCCACATGCAAGCTAAGCAGATAATTTTGTTCCTTCAGCATTTATTTGCAGGTCAGCTGCTGGGCAACACTGCAAGTGCCCTTTATCAATTCAGATTCATTACCTCTCTAAAACTGTTTTCAAGCTACAAAAGGACAAAAAAGACAGTAAGATTGGGGTCTACAGAACTTGACCTTGCCATCTGTTCAAGCCAGGAAGAGTGTAAGAGAATCCAATAGGATGCTGAAAATAAAGGTCCTTCCAGCAGCTGTTTGGGCAGCGATCAGTGCCAGTGGGTTCCTCTCAAATACTCTGCCTACAAATTCTGGACCTGCTAGCCTTGGCTGAGATCTGAGACTATTTTTAGAAGCTTGAATAAAAAGCAGTCATCCAGTGGAATGCTTTTCACTTCCCATTTTAGACATTACATCCTTAGCCCAAATGTAATCACCAGCTGAGCCATTCAAGGTTCACTCATATTTCAGTCATCATAGAATCACAGAATCATAGAATAGTTAGGGTTGGAAAGGACCTTAAGATCATCTAGTGCCAACCCCCCTGCCATGGGCAGGGACACCTCACACTAAACCATATCACCCAAGGCCTCATCCAACCTGGCCTTGAACACTGCCAGGGATGGAGCATTCACAACCTCCCTGGGCAACCTATTCCAGTGCCTCACCACCCTAACAGGAAAGAATTTCCTCCTTATATTCAATCTAAACTTCCCCTGTTTAAGTTTTAACCCGTTACCCCTTGTCCTATCACTACAGTCCCTAATGAAGAGTCCCTCCCCAGCATCCCTATATGCCCCCTTCAGATACTGGAAGGCTGCTATGAGGTCTCCACGCAGCCTTCTCTTCTCCATGCTGAACAAACCCAACTTTCTCAGCCTATCTTCATGTGGAGGTGCTTCAGTTCCTTGATCACATCATCCCATTTGACCTTTGCCCTGACACCTCACCAGACTTGTCTTTTGAGTTGAACATGAAGGGTCTGCACCCCCTACTCACCCGTCCTTGGAGAGGTGGTGCCGGAAGAAGTCATTGGCTGCCAGTTTGATGGCCTTTTCTGGTGTCACCAGGGTCAGGTTCACTGCAGCCCCTGGGCAAGGAAAAGAGGAAAAGGCCATTGGAGAACAAGAATAAAGGAACCATTAACTGGATCTTTCAAGAATGCGTTGTAACTCCAGCTCAAAACCAAGGACTTAGGAAGGAGAGCTCCCAAAGCACCAAAGGGATTAGGAAGCATGAAACACCACTGGAAATTAATAGCATTTCTACCTCCCCACACCTTGGGTTTTTGAAAACATCCTCTGATGTGTTTCTACTCCATTTGCAATGCTTTTTGTAATTTCTTTAGCTTCACTACTACCTCTCCACCATGCAAACATGCATCCTCTTCTCTCATCCAAGGATGCATTCCTAAGAATCCAGAAGGATGCAGATCAGACCTTCAGGAAAGGTGTATAATTTGGTTTAATAACCATTCCCAACTCCCTCATAAATGTTTTGCGGCTGAGAAGTGAAAGGCCCACAGCCCATGTTCTTGCTAGTGCTCTTGCACCACTACCACCAAAAGCAGAGCAATTTGCTTACCAGGCAGCCAAGAAAAGGCAGAGCCATTGAAAGACCTAGAGGCTAGTTAAAGTCAGCTGGCTCACCTGCATGGAAGTCAGCTAGCTCTAGGTCAACCCTTGCAGTTAAATGGCTTCCCTCGTATATCACCACTGGGTGTCACCCTCAGAACAGCCACAGCTGAAAAGTGGCTTTTTGTCCACCACAAACTGCAGGGTGCAGAAATTCTCCTCTGAGCACCACGCCAAGGCTTGCTGGGGGACATGGAGTGTAGACAAGCCTTGGCTTCACCACCAGCTCCGGCTGGAATGCCCCTTTGTCAGGAGCAAATTCCTGTATTGTGCCTGCCACAATGAAAGGTCTGCGTGGCCTGGCAGGCTGCTGTGAGCCATGGACACCAGTATTAGTGCAACACAGTGGCTGGGAGGCAGCTTTCAAGCTGCCCTCAGAAGCACGTGGTGAGGAGAGGGCCAGTCCCTTCTGAACATACTAGGTTTTGCAGCACTATATTAACACACTCCAGAATCTTCTTCTTCCTTTAGATCTTACAGCTCAAAAGGTCCTCCAGTGGATGACTGCAAGCTCTCTTTGCCTGCACTGAAGCATTCTGAGTTCTAGTGCCCCCGAAGCAGCTTTACTGGAGACTTCCTAACGACCTATGAATACCTTTGCAAGGACAAACAGAAAAGCTAGCATATACCTTTTGCCATTATGCTTATGGTAGAGATTTAAACAACTTGCCCCAAACCTCCGTTTTCCAAAAAGAAGCAGAGAAGCCTGCACTTCCACTAGGCCCTGAACACTTGGGATTAATCTTCAGAAGCTCTGAACCTCAGTTGACAGAAACTGTGCAGGCTCAACACACCTAAAGAAAGGCAACTCAGTCTTCTGATCCTCAGGATGGACTCCCCTCCCCCAAATGTTAACTCCTAAATTAGACACGGAAATACATCAGGTTTGGGAGAACTTTCCACAGGTAGCAAAACTGCAGCTGGGACTTCTGGGACCAGTACAACTGGGATCAAGACATGAGAAACCTTGGCTCCACATCCTCTGCTCAAAGGACACATCTCCAAAATGTGGGAAATAGCACGAGGAAACAGACAACTTTGCCATGTAGGGCTGTGCAGCCCAACACATCTCCCCCTCTTCCAACTGCCATGTTCAGATTTCACAGAAAACAGAGTAACCCTGCCTCGCAGCAAATCAAATCAGTGCATTCATTCCACACTGGCCATGACACCCAGCAAATGCCATCATCTTCTACAGGAGCCGAATTACCTACACAGGGAGCAGGGTAGCCCTCTCATACTCCAGAGTTTTTGGAGACTTCAAAGTGTACCAGTGACTGCACTGCTTCAGTTTGATGTGCTTCCTACATCATGTGCCCCTGCCAAGACTCTTGCATGTGATGAGAAGCCACACAGACATGACCCCCATGCTCTATCTCCACTTTTAATGTCAATCACATCAGCACCTACAAAGCAAGTCCATGCAGCCCAATTTTTATGTGGAAGTGGCTACCCATGAAGTGTTTCCTGGAAATGCACTTGAAGACAACTTCAACCCCACTCCTAATGGCTAGAAGGTAAAACCCCAGTATATTACTGCCATGCAGCATGAATAACCCTTTCCTTGGCAAAACAAGGAGAAAAAGAGAGAATACACCTGCTAATTTAACACCAGTGCAAATGGTTCACTGAAAGAAAAAACAAACTCCAAAACATCAAGGAAGAAAGGTAAGCAAGAGGTATGCTTCCATGTGCTGACCTCCTCCAGGAGCCAAGAGGCTTTCACAGCAATTCCTCCTTCAACTGCAAATAATGTAGAGGGAAGTTAATGAACCTGGGTTTTCTCCTATATCTTTGATATTTTCAGTAAGCTGCTTAGCAGAGAATGGATAATCCCTGTCCTCAATAACCCGTAACAGCTTTAATTCACTGGAGGAGGAGAAATCAGATACTTCAGCTGCTGGCTATATGCTTTCCATGGCATTTTCTACCTTTTTTATAAACCTCCTAGCTCTTCAATTCTCACTATGCCAGTGACTATTTCCCTAACTAAAGCTAACCTTGGCCTATAGGCAACACTACAGGTACCAGAAGCAATGACACACAGATTACAAAAGTAAATTACTATCGTTAAAAAACAAAATATTTTGCAAAGAAGTACAGAAGCACTACAAAGAATAAAATAAAATACAGTCAAAACCAGCTGTTTACCAACTGAACTCGTAAGTGCCCTCTTCTCACCAAGCCTTGGGTTCTGTTATTAACACACATTCCTCATAAAAGGCATATATGCCACCAGCAACCTCCATAACAGTGGGACTGATTCATACGCAGCATGGCACTGGTGCAATATGGAAGGTATTATTAGCAGAGGCTGGGGAAGGCTGCCACACTATGGTAGCTGAACTGTAGCTACCCTCCAAATGTCACCAACAGCAAAGGGCATTTCCCCAGCCTCATTTAGGCCTTTGACTTGCCAGCTAGACTAAAGAGCTGGTCTGCAAATAGCAGTGGGACTTCCAGGATGCCTGCTGGGATCTGTAAGTGGCTTCTGCACAGACTGTAACAGGAAGCAGTGGACCTCTCCAAGGTACCCTTCCACTGAAGTCCACATGGTCCAGGAGCCCACAGGCACCATGGATTCATTTGCTTGGCATCATGCCTGAAGGCAGCATGCTGTCATCCCCTGAGCACAGACAGGGCTAGACAGCACCACCCAGCTTTGCAGCACAGTTGCTACCTAAATGTTATGGAAAAAAAACATGAGAAAAACACTCTTTTTCCTCCACCAAGCAAGCAAGAATCCCTGTAGCTTGGAAGAAATATTGGGACTGCCTTATGCATCACACAATTCACTATGGCTACTCATACAGAGCAAGGACTGTCTGCCTACATATCCCCCCTTGAGAAATGATTTGCAAAAAAGCATCCTACTAGCTCAAGCCTCTCTCTTCTCTATACTGAGGAGCTTTGATTCACAGGTGAGGGAGACCTGGAGCCACACAGTGGGAATGGCTGCACCCAAGCAGACCCTTTCTGTCCTCCAACTGAGGCCAAGCACCTTGTGGAGAAGACTGACGCAGTTGTGACTCCTCCATGGGCATGGCAGGTGGCAGTTTAGCACATTAACATATAATCCTCCCAATTTCAGCTTAAAGGCTGCAAATAAGAGCTTATGAGTCATTCCTAGCTTCTGCTGGGGAACTGGGACAGACTGAGGGAGTAGGAACCAATCCACAATCTGATTTCCATCTTCCCCTGCCTGCAAGTCTGAGCTGTCTCTTTACCTTCTTCCAAGAAAATTACTCACATTCTTCATGAATATTGGATGTATTTTATCCACCTATCCTCTCCCCAGGAGGAAGGGAAGGGCTGCTAATGTCAGCCCACAGAACTGAGGCCAGAACCAGGATTGCTGTACTTGGAGGACTCACCTTTGCACCCTGGCTATTGTGAGATATCTGTGAATTTCTGGAGCTATTGACAGAAGCCCTTTCCAAAAACCAGCTCCCCATTTAATCCTAGGAGGCGACAGGTAAATCCAAGCCACTCTCAGCTCCCTGAACAGAGAGGTACAAAGTTAGTGGGACATGGACCAAGCTGACCAGACTCATTATGGCTTAGAAAAGCAAGAGCTATGCAAAACCCACTGCACCCTTTGAGACTTTCGCTTGGGAGTGGAAAGTGGCCTGGATATACACATCCCTTTCAGCACCCTGCACCTTACAGGACCAATCTGTCTCTCCCAAGTACCCTGATAGCTCCTACAGTCTCATCTGTAAGTTTCCAAGACCCGCTTTGTCCTTCTGCTCCCCGCCAATCAGCCTGCCACTGCATATTTACACCCAAAGTTAATGCAGGCTCTGTTCCCAGCTAGGAACAGAGGCAGCCAGCTTCTGGGAAAAATCAAAGGGGAACGTGTCACTGCTAGCACTGAAGAAAGACCTTGCCAGGGTTCCTCGGGGTTATTTGTCTTGTTTCCTGCTCCCACGAAAGCTGGAATGAAGCAGCCAATCCATCCCCAGCATCCACTGCACTCCCCCAAAACGCCCACCAGCAAGTTGGGCAAGAGACACTGCCTCAACAGCCAGCACCAGCTCTCAGGCTGGCTGGCTGCAGCGGCTGTGGCTCCTGAGGAGCTATGGAAGAAGTGTCAAGAGATGCCAACAGCAAGGTACCAGCATCTCTGGACTCCCACTTGAAATAAGAAAGAGAGGGACTCAGTTAATCAAAGCACTACTTTAATCAGGCTTTACCAGCAAATGAGTGTCACAAATAATGCTATCAGAATGCCTCAGAGGAAAAAAAAAAAGCATATTCAGGCAATTGAATACGAGTATGTAAGATAGAACCAGAGCTCAGTGTTGATTGAGCCAGTTGGACTGTGCCAAAAGCCAAGAAAATATTCCACATTTTCCTCTCCTATGAGTAAAGTCAGAATTTGGCCTACTGTTCCCCTCTCCTCAAAATCTTCAAAAACTTTCAATGACTTTGTGTTTAAACTCAAAAAGGTATAATGTCAGCTGAGGAACTCACTCCTGCAACAGACAGCCTAAGCCACGGAGCCAGGAGATTGCTAGCAGGTTAGCATACAACAACCAAACACTTGAAGCTCTACCATGAGGAAACCTCTGATTTTCTTAGGGAGTTTCTTTCTGGGGGAAGGTTAGCTTTTTTTTAATTGCAGCTTATCTATCTTAATACTTGAACAAAGCACTCAGGCGTGCTTGAGAGACAGCTGGTTTTGGAGATAACTTGTCAATGGGATGGGACAGCATGCCTGACCATATTAGTGGTGGGCTTTGACATAAACTGAATCACCAACCACAAAGAAAGACGCTTCAAGAGGTTTGCTACTGCCCCTCTGACAAAAGCTACTATGCCCAAACTGGGAAACACACACACAGAGTCCTGAAACAAAGCCCAGCAGCTTCACGTAAACTGCTAGTAAAGATTAACTTCAGTAAATGGTAAGGTTTAACACCAAAACAGCCATGGGGAGGACTCAAGTACTCAGTGGTGGAGAGCTCAGCAGACAACTAGCATGAGGAAGTTTATTTTCAGAAACAGATGCACTTTCAACATCTTACAATATTGCTAGGGTATTGCTTTGTAATCCTGAGAACATGCGCTTTTCATCCCACTTATGCACAAGTGCTTCCACCACAAAATCTGCGCCATGCCTGACTCAGCTTTACTTACCCCTGTACATGCCAAAGTAGCCTTCCGACCTAATTGTTTTAATGAGGCAGTCAGACCTGCGGACAAAAGAGAGAGAGATAAACTACAGGGGCTCAAAGGTGGTTGACAGCAGAGAAAAACAAAACAAATCTCTTGGAGTGGTATTCATTTCTGATCTGTCAGCAAAACCCTGAGCTGAGAAGAGAATCACATCAGACTCTGAATGCACCATTGTTCAGGCCCCAGTCAAATTTTAGCCCCCAATTCACTGGGGCTTTGAAACCCTCGGCTCGCCCTGCATGCGCTGTCTGCTTTCTAGAAACACAAAGGGAAAAGTGTCACTGCAGGGACTGTTTATCCAGGGTCCCCTGTGGCAAACGTGCATGAGATGCTTCAACAAGCAGATCCCCACACACATGATTTTAAATCCAGTTCTGGAAGGGAAAAAAGGGGAGGAGGACAGCAAAACCCCCAGTGCCCAGTGCTGACGTTGTGACTTACTCCGTGAAATTCGACACAAGCACTAGACGACCCAAACACTCAGTCATCTGTGACCTCCCATGAAGATTAAAGCACTTACTTTTAATACATCAGGTCCCACAGCAGGCAGAGAGCACTCAAGCTCTTGTCCTGGGGAGAGTGAGGCAGAGTGCCGTGGAGGTGCATTCCAAGGGGAAAACTGTTGCTTTGTTTCAACTACATTTACTGCAATTGGGAAAACTGAAGACTTTTCAAAGGCACTGACACACACCTAACAAGTCTAGAGGCACAGTTCAGGAAGGCAGTGCAGACCCCCTGGCAGTGTTTCCCTCTCTAGACCACAGCTGCAGAGGTTTGGGAACACAAGGAGTAAACTTCATCTCTGCTTTGTAGTAGTGCTAACGTGGGAGAGAAGAAATAAAGAGTTCCATTGAGGGCATTACGGCCTACTTGGGTCAAGGCTGTTCTAGGGTACCACATGTTACCTGGGCTACAGAACTGATGGACATGGGCAGAGCACAGTCTACCTGGACTTGTGCAAAGTGTCTGACACTGTCCTCCTGCATGCCATCCTTGTGTCTACATTGGAGAGACATGGATTTAATGGACGGACCACTCGATGGATAAAGAATTGGCTGGATGGCCGCATGCAGAGAGTTGCATTCAATGACTCAATGCCCAAATGGAGACCAGTAATGAGTGGTGTCCCTCAGGGTTGGTGTTGAGACTGCTCCTGTTCAACACCTTTGTCAGCAACAAGGACAGCAGGATTGAGTGCGCCCTCAGCGAGTTTGCCGATGACACCAAGCTGTGTGGTTTGGTTGATACGCTGGAGGGAAGGAATGCCATCCAGAGGGACCTTGACACGCTTGTGAGGTGGCCAATGCTAACCTCATGAAGTTCAACCAACCCAAGTGCAAGGTCCTACACCTGGGTCAGGGGAATCCCAGGCACAGCTACAGGCTGGCAAAGAAGAGATTCAGAGCAGCCTGAGGAGAAGACTTGGGGGTGTTGGTCGATGAGAAACTGAACGTGAACTGGCTTCAGTGTGCGCTTGCAGCTCAGAAACCAACCGTACCCTGGGCTGCATCAAAAGGAGTGTGACCAGCAGGTCTAAGGAGGTGATCCTGCCCCTCAACTCTGCTCTCGTGAGACCCCATTTGGAGCACTGTGTGTAGCTCTGGTGTCCTCAACATAAGAAGAACATGGAACTGTTGCAGCAAGTCCAGAGGAGGGCCATGAGGATGATACGGGAGCTAAAGCATTCAGATCCAAGTTTTGTTGCAGATTCTCAGGAGAAGCCAGCTCAAATATACAAGTTAAATCCTGTGTATTCCTTAATGGCACCTCATCCCACAGAAACTCCTGGCTAGGGACCAGATCTGCACTTGACTCCTGGAGGTTAAAAGCCTCTCTCCTACTTAGCCCCCCTCCAGAGAGAAGGATCCTGGCATGCCCTCCTAAGGGGACCCCACATCCTGCCCAACTCCTGTTGCTGTTGCCAGGGGGAGAAGTGATCTTCAGGGAGGAGAGGCAATCTGCAGCAGCAGCAGGAAAAGGACAAAACAAAAAGGAGAGGCAAGGCAAGACAGGAGGCTGCATTATGCCAGCATGCCTGTACACACAAGCAGTGCAGGGAGCAGAGAGGGTTGTAACTGTCAAGGGAAACAACAGTCGCCGTGACATGTCAGAGCCTACAACCTAAACTCATGCATAATTGCATGTTGTCAGCCACAGCAAGGAGGCCCGGAGACTCAAACCATCAACGTACAGAGCATTTCCTTCCTATTCTCAGCCTGCCTAAAATTCTGCTGGGCAGGAAAGAGGAAAATATTGTTAACACTCCTTTTGAACACAATGGCAGGAGGACAAGAGAAAACTTGTGAGTCCCAGTGCCTTCTCCCCCCTCAGTGACACCAGTACTTTTGGAAACCTATGGCCTGACTCTGGTTCCTACAATAAAGCATCTTGTGCTGAGTGTGGTGCACATTTCCACAGCAGACACAAAGCCCTAGGCATCCCACACAAATCCCAGGTGAATTTGGCAGGCTGTATATATTTATGTCTTCTTTTCCCACAGCACTTGATTATTTTGGACTCAGGACTGCTGAGATAACTACAGCATGTGTCAACCTTTGAGCCTTCAAAAGATCTGCATGCAGTGCTCTAGACTGGGAACGAGTGACTGCTTCCTCCTTTTAAAACTGACGCAGCAAATGAAGGACCTGCAATAAAAAAGTGATTGAAACAGAAGAGAGGTAGAAATTCCCTCATGCACTCAACTATCAGTTGAGTAATCAATCTCATTGATCACTTTAATCAGCAGAGAAACAAATCGTCTCCTTTTGTTTTGGTCCTGTGCCCTGACAGCAGCGATCATGCCACCCCTAAAACAAAGGATAGAGATGTGCCCTCTGCAGAGATCTCACCTGCTGGGCTCCACAGCTTGAACAGCTGCTTTATTTGCCTTATCTGCCCTAGCACAGCTTGGTTCAAGATTGTCCTGTCTTTCCTGAGGAGAGCCCAGTTCCTAGAAATGCTGAACTCACTTGAAAGAGGTAACAAAGTGGAAAGCCTCCCCGCTGGAAGCCACGAGGGATGCTGCCCGTGCAGGGGTACTCACATGCTGGTGTACAGACGCTGGCCATTCTGCTGGTTCTGCAGGCGAGTTTTTGCCAGGTCAATGGGAAATACACAGGTGACCCCGATCAGTCCAGCTATCCCTCCATTGATCAGCTTGGCAGGTAAACTGTAAGGGGATGAGACGTAGAGAAACAGATTTCTTAGCACTGGGATAACGTCAGGGGAGGGAAAGAGGAAAGAATGGAGCTCTTCTGGATGACAAGAGTTAACACATCTCTGTGTGACAAGGCTGTCCTCCTCCTGTAGCATGAAGGGAGCTCTCAAGGCAAAGCTTGGCCCCTGCTGTATGCAGGTGGGAAGAGGGGAAAGCAGCACGTAGCATCAGGACAAACCACTGACTAGTGGAGTGGAGGCAAACAGCTAAGCTACACATCACTAGAAACATGAAAAAGCCCTGTTTGCCAGGACCCAAGGGTTTCTGTTGTTCCTAGAGGAGAAAAGAAGACTGCTGAATCATCTTACAACACAAACTGACTTGAGTTAGGGCCTGACGGCACCCAACCCAGAAGGTTTACTGGCAAATGCTCTTTAGCACCACAATCAGATACGCATCTAATGAGAGGTTCATGACACATCAGCTGCTACCATCATGTGGGAGTGAGCCCAGAAGCGCCCAGCTGGCAGCTGAGGAGCAGACGGCTGCAGCTTCAGGAAACTGTTTCCAGACCCACCGCCCAGGGCCAGGGGAACACACACAAACCAACAGCACAACAAAACCACCAGACCAGCAGCCTGCACGGCTGCAGACACAGAAGTGTGAGCTCATACCTCTCAGGGAAGTCAAAACCTGGCTGGCTCCATGTGCTTCCAAAATGGGGGTCTTTTCTGCTCGCCTTTGTGTTCTCACAGAGAGTTCTTGCAAGTGGTTTTGACTGAAAGCCAGATCAGCTAAACATGGGTTTCCAGCAAATTCAATTATGAAGAGTGTCCAGCACTTTTATGCTTGACAAACCACTACACATAGAGACAAAGGAAGCCTGTTTGAGTCAGCTCCCTCCAATAAAGCACAGGATATGGCTCCTTGAACACAGGACGTGTTGGATATTAAACTGATGGCAGTCCTAGATTGCAGCTGGGAGTCGGCAAGGCTGAGGCCTCCCATGGCAGGAAGGGGCATGCTGCCTTTCATGACAGTGACATGATGCGTTGGATGGGGACACAGACTGCATTATTCACTGGAAGCAGCAGTGGCAAGGCCAGACACGGCATGGTGGGGTGAAGCTCTGCAAACACATTCCACCCAGCAGCACTGCAGAAAGGCTCAATAAGCAGCCATACTGAAAGAGCTGCCCCTCAGCTCCAGGCAAGGGGGGTTGGAACTTGATGATCTTAAGGTCCTGTCCAACCCTAACTATTCTATGATTCCATGACTCAGGGTTTCAACTTGAGGTCTCCCTGGGGAAAGCAAACAAGACGGGTGGAAAAAAAAAAGTCTTAGCCCACAAGTGCATGACCTTGACACCCCAGGAAACTCTGTTCAGCCTCTGCTTTCTGCATCCAGAGCTCCTTCCTCCTCAGCACCTGCACCAATATAGCACACACACATGGCCCCAGGGCTGGCACAGCTGGAAGAGGAGGTGCCAAAGACAGGCAGACAAACCTGAGCTCAGCCCACATCCCCAAACAAGACTGTGCTGACTGAGATTAAATCAAGCACAGTACATTAGGAAGGCAGGCCCAAATGCCTGAGCTCAACACAGGGCCAGACTGCAAGATCTCACCAGCTCGAGACTCTATTGCCTCAGGGATCTCTGCACCACAGTCTGAGAAAGGAACAGATTTGCCTGCAAACTCCTACGCTCAGCTTCTTAGGACATGGGAAAATTCCAAACAGTGAGCTTCGTATCATGGCACTCTCCTTACTTAACCCATAGTCATACTGAAAGAGGATAGAGACCAGATAAAAGCATGTCAAGATGGAGGCACCACTGGGAAGGAGGGTCAAGACAGGATCACATCAGCATCCCCAAATTCAGCTCTGAAGTCACTGCTGGCAGGTCACAGACTGCAAAGCAGAAGCAGTGCCTCTTTCCAGCCTTAGCACTGTCTTCACTTCTCGAAGTATCCCTGAAACACCTGGGCCCGCAGACACCTGCCTCTTTCAAACCTGTTCCAACAGTGAAATCATCACAGGGTTTGTATCAGGTGGGAGTGAGACAGAGACACTTGGCAAACATCTTGCCTGCTGGCACCGTAAGTGCAAAAGATTCCTCAGTTTCAGCACAGACCCCAGAAAATGAGGAAATAGCCTGGTGTGCCCAGGCAAGCCAAACATTTGGGCAATGGGAGCTGCAGAAAGCCTTTCACTCTGCAGGTGAGAAACCCTTGCTCAACACCCATATCACACCTAAAACCAACCATCCAGGTTCCCCCAAGCACACTATAGAGGGAGACTATCATGGCCTGTGCAGCAGTGTCTGGTGAGACGCTGAGATCAAGTTCCACATGCACTGCTGCTGAAATGCAGTGCCTTTGATCTTACCTTGCAGCAAATGGATGCTGTGGATTTTAGTCTTTTGGTATCAGTCTCATCTTGCTAAGGGGTGACAGATGCATGCTGCAAGGGAAGAGGGGTTCAGTAGATCCTCCAAACTGAAACACATCTCCTTGGCTCAGCTGCCTGGGACCACTGTAGACTTGTAGTCACATAGATGGGAGAGATAACCTAAGCGGGAGAACTACAGGATTTTGGGCATAAAGAATCTGCAATAGAGCGCACTGCACCTGAATCAAAAGCTTCTTCCCTTGTGACTAAGTCATCCCACTTTTCACGTCAGTGTTCCCTGCTGTCTCACGGGGTAAGAATCCACTGTGCTTTGTCTCTCTGTCCTATTTAGCTTCTGCACAGATACTGCCTCTCGCTACCAAGGTGCACAGGGCTTAGTGTAGCAGGGACAACACAGGTGAGCATACAAATAAAGTTGTTTTCTCAGTTTAACACAAGAAGGCATCCCAGTTCTAGTGCTCCTCCCGAGCCCTTTTAACTAGTCCCTGTAGCCAGCAAGGTCCTGTTTACATTGCTGAGAGCATATTGGAGGGGATGGGGGAGATCTTGGAGGATGCGTATTCCCTTCCTTCAAAATACCAAGCTTCAAATGGCCAGGGACAGGTGGTCCTTTTAGTCTTCCAGTGCTATCAGGGACATACACTCATCAGGCTCCATGGAGGTGAATCTCAGCATGCCCTTCATGGGTGTATGAGAAGTGTGCCAAGTACTCTCTAGACTGGGCAGCATGATGAGCAAATAAACACTCCACAATGCTGTCTTGTTATCAGCACAGCTCAGGATTGCTTTCATTTGCAGAAGGCAGGCATGCAGAAAGATATCCTTATCATAGTAAGCACTAAGAAGGGGCAGCCCTCTTGCCTGCAGGATTCAGGCATTGCCAAGCCCTGGCCATCTGTCACCAGATTTCATTCACCCACTGACCACTTTTTGTGGTAACCTGGAAAAGTAGATGTTAGAAGAGGACCACAGAAAACACACATAAGAATCCCACAGCATGTAAAAGTCATTTAACTAAAGCAGCTACTCAAGCAGCAGAAAGTTAAACCCACATGCAGGACTGTGTAGATCCACCTAACACAGCTCTTAAGAACCTAAGGGTACAACTCTATCTTTCCAGAAAATGCATCCCAATTCATCTCCAGGGAGGACATACATCCAGCCTTTGCATATGCAAGGACCAATGCTCTTAAGTTCCTGCTGCACACTAAAGTGCCGATAATTATTGTTGGTACTTCATGATCCTGCGATCACTCAAGCATTGACTGGCTTTAAAAGAGGGGCACAAGGCTGCATCTATGTGGACTTTGTCATTACAAGCATTGCATCCTCGTTGGTCAGGGAGCTGGCTTTGCTCCCCTGATGTCAGCAAGCTGAAGTCAGCAGGTCAAACTGACCTTTGAAAGAGGAAGCAAACAGACTTGTGCAGGGTAAAGGGATAGGGTAGAAAGAAAAAGGTAGTGAGAAAAGAGACCTAAATAAAGCAGAGATGTGACAACATGGCAAAGACAGAAAAAGAAGAGAAGGTTACAAAAAGCAGGTACGAAAGGAGCAGAGAAGAAATCAGAACTGTTTAAGGCCAGAAGAGATGAACAGGTGATCTCCAACCTCCTGTATCACAAAAGTGATTGAAAGATTTTAAAAGAAAAAATCCAAAGCACAACCAACAACCCAAACATTTTTTAAAATTACCTGATCTGTTTATCAGCCATTTAATTCAAACTTGATCTTGTTAAGAAATGAATCTGTTCCTTCAAATCGGTCCTCAGTTTCTTTTTCAGTCACTTCTTTTTCACTTCAGTTTCTTCCTGGGAAAGGAGACAAAGACACCAAGGAGACAAAGTTGAGACACTTACTCTTCCTGAAGCTCAGGCCCTACTGGGCAGCTGCAGGGTGAAGCCAGCTGAGGAACAAGTGACTTAAGGAAGCACCTGCTCTCCTTGGAGAGGAGACATAGCTTCCCAGGGAGCCTTATAAATATAGAAGCACATAGGAAGGAAAGAGTTGCCAGAGTCATCAGGCTGCACCAGCACATGAGGAAGGGCAGCAGCCAGGCAGCGCACGAGCTCTGCCCAGCATCCAGCACAGCAGTACCCATCACAGCTCTCTCCAAGTCCCGGGAGCATTTCAAACTGCACTGTATGGATCAACAACCCTCTGTAGGTCCACCCAGCCACCCCAAGATAATCACATGCTATTGCAAGGCCCATTCACCACCTCCCTCCAACACATGTGCTGGCACCAGAGAGCAATCTTCAAAAACCTGCTCCTCCAGTGATTACAGTCCTTCCTTTACTTTCCAGCCCGAAAGGACAGCCCATCCTCAGTCTTGTGCCAACACTGTCTTTAAGCAGCGCCTCTCCCTCCTGAGCCTATTGAACTTTGTCCTTTGGACCACTCCTTTCAGCTCAGTGCCTACTGGCACAGCACTGAAGTTCCAAGTCAGCAAAAAACCATCCTAAGATTCCTATTTGCTACTGTTTATCAAGAGCTGGTAGAAGTCACCATACAAAGAAATTTGGATGCTGGAGAAAATTTCAGAAGCAGACACAACCTTCAGATTTCTGGGGGCATCTTTGTCCCCTCTTCATCTCCAACCTGGGAACCACCTGCCCCATGCTTTCCTCAGGCGTCTCAGCAGCACCAGCCACTCTCCTCCTTCTCCCCTTCCAGATGACATCTGGGTGGTGAGCCAGAAGCAGAGGAGACACATTTGCCCTTTGCCTCTGAAATGCAATTTGCCCCTTAGTTGCAGATTTCCTAAGCCACACAGGATCTCACATCCAGCAGTGTGGCTCCCAGGCTGACACTTCTGCTCTGGAGATGCAACCTGAAGGCCAGAGGCATTCCTGAGAATAAAAGGGCCCTGAAAGTGTAAAAAGCTGGTGATGGTACAAACAGGTATGGGAAGGAGAGCAGATGAAGTCACACACATTCCAGCAATGACCTGCTCCCCTCCCTGTTACATTAAGTGCCAAGAACAGGGCAGCATGAAAGCAGTTGTGCTGTCCCACACTTGGACAATGTGAGACTAAAACTGCCTTTTCTGGAGTCCTACATTTAGCTAAAGCCATGAGAGACCAGAACACGAAGCTTACTAAGGAAAGGAGTTTCTCTCCAAAACACTGCACACAAACATCATCCATTGCACTACTACACCTTCTATCCTTTCTGTGACCACCAGGGAAGGGATGCTCCTGCTGCAGCTGCACATCAGGAAGGGGTAAAAACAGTCTTCCTGGGTTCAAAATCAGACAAACAGGATGCCTGTGTGGTCAGCAAATGCCAGGACTAGTGTCATCTCCCCAAACACAAGTGACTCAACTCATGGACAAGTGAGGGGAAGAGAACGATGTGATCATTTTACAGCAGACACCAGCACTTGATAACTGTTTATACAGCATCTGGTACAGCAAAGGCCTGAATGTGTCCATGATCAGGGGATTTTAATGCATTAAGGGATTTTAATGCACTGAAGTGGAAAGTTTATTTGAACTGTTTGTTTAAACAGAGCTCCAGCAAATGACCAAAATTTGTTTTGCTCTAGCAAAACAAATTCAAGTCACTGCAAACTCCATCTGAACACTTTGCTGCGATCTACAGAACTCCCCAAGTCCCTTAAAAGATGGTGAATGCTGAAGCCTCCAGCACCCTGGGAAGAGCTGGACCCCAGAGTCTCCCAGGGCAGGAAAATAGCTGTTGCAATCCTGTAGCCTGAAAGGAGGGAAAACACAGGCTGGGAACAGAATGGCATTTATTTTATAGGATATTCAAAAAACAAATCAAGAACAAATCCATTTAACCTAGAAAGGAAAGAGATTAAGTAAAGAACTGAGTATATCTCCCAAGGAACATGATGCTCTTGGGAGCCAGAAAATGCAAGCAAAATCAAAGGCTCTGCAGCCAAGCAGCAGTGTTGTCCAGGGCTTCCCATTTCAGCAGGGTCAGGGAGCAGGGCTTGCATCTTCCCAGGAAACCTCCCATCAGCATATGCACTTGTCTGCACAAGCCAGCAGTACCAGAAAGGTGCTGATGCCTCTTCATGTGGTTAAACTTCACAGCCAGGCAGACAACAGCACTGCTGGAACTGGGAACCTGAATGGCACAAGGAGCAGAGGAACTGGGAGGAAACTGGTAGTAGGTGGGCAGAGGAAACAAGAGCTGCCAGAGATCCACCTCAAAGCTGAAGAGGCTGAGCAACCTGCACAGAAGGAGGGTCCTGAATCAAACATCTAGTAATTAAGAGAGTGACAGCTGCACAGGCAATGAATTATGTGGCATTAATTCCTTCCTAGAATGCTGTTAACACAGCTAGGCACAGATTAATGCCCTATTACTTGCACACCAGGATATCCCTTCTACACTTATTAAAATGATCAAGCAAATTTAGTTTCAGAGTGATGCACACACGGCAGCACGGGGAATCTTCGCCTTCGTGCAAGTCAGAGAAGCAGTATAAATGTCCCAAAGCTCACTCTGCTGCACACTGGTACCCCAGGACTCCTCTATTCAGCCTCTCCCTTTTCACAGCTCACAAAATCCAGCTGCAGAGAGTAACAGAGCAGCCAGATTGGATGTACCACAATGCAACCCATGCCAGCTTTGGATGGTCCTTCACAACCTCTGCCACTGCCAAAATGGTGCTGTTCTGCTTCCCTGCCTTGCCAGGCACCACACACACCCATCCACCTACGCTATCCAGATGGCAAGATCTTCTTCAGGATGACCAGCCTTTGCAGACTGCCAGACTTGCTGCACTCCTGATCAGCCCAGGGCACGGGGATGGGCTTCTAACCTTCAGTTCTCACTTCATCACGTGAAGGAAAAGTGCTTACTGGAGAATCACAGCCACCCTCTGGGGCATGGAGGAGACAACACGTGGAGGAGACTTGATACATGTGCTGACGGCAAGCTTGGATCGAGACAGATGCACACAACACCTCCACAAGCAGAGACATTACAGGAGAAGGAACAGATTAAGCTTACCCACGCCTCTTTGACCACGCTGATCGCATCTACAGTAACTGCACAGTTCTATGGCTGTAGGTTGCCACCTCCAGATACCACTGCTCTGCCCACAGTCTGACCCTGGGGGTCCCCATAGCTCAGAATGTTCCTTCTTGTCATACTTTCCCTCTACCAGGCTGCCAAAGCCACCATCAGCATCCTCTAAGCCAAGCCAGCCCACCATCTCCCCCAGTCCTGCCAACAGCCCCCACAAAAAGGCCAGCTCTATGCTTCCGCCCTCTGCCCACCCTTCCATTTCCAGACTCGCGCCTCCCAGCAGCCCAATGCTGCAGCTGAGCACAGCCTCTCAGGCACAGACTGTTAGACATGCTGATTTATCTGGGTGCACACAGGCTGCCATTTTGAAAGAAGACCTTTAGCCAACTGGCGCTGCGGCCAAGGGAAGCAATCCCGTCCTCTCCCTACACCCAACCGTGTGTTCCCATCCTGGCTGTCATGCCAGAACAAACATTTGTGCAGAGCGGTCAGGCAGGGATGAGACGGAACTGGAAGCCAGCACATGCTGGAGCCGTCACTGAAAGCAAACATTCAAACCACAACCTTGACTTGAAAATAAACAGCAGAAGGGGAAGAAAGGACTCCCTTCCACATATTTCCATTTGTCTTGAGAAAAGACAAACTCAGTGCCCAGCCGGAGAAGCAGACATCAAGAAGCCAGGTTCAAAGGGTGACAAGGAGGGAGCAAAGCCGTGCCAGCATTACTATGTTGAGAGGACACAGTCATGCAACCACTCACAATGCAGGGGGCCAGCAATCAGCAACTAGTACCTGCTGGGAGAGGAAAAACCCTCTGGGACCAGCACACAGTTTTTCTTCACAGACAAATGCATGTGAAGGTGCAGACAGCTTGCCAAGTTTCACTAACGACTGAAGCAAAGGAGCCGTTGCAACAGTAATGGTTAAGGACTGCAAACTGAACTGCAAGTGTTTCTTGAGAGAAGCGACTTCATTTACCTTCACATAACAGCAGTCAAGAAAACAAAACTGGCCTTGGAAATGCAGCTACCTCCACCAGTCATCAACAAGGGAGAGGACTCGGCACTCAATAGCTCCTTTTGAGCTGGGCCAACCAATCCTCCCATCTCAAGGACATCAAAAGCTGCATCATGTGCTGGAGACAGCTCACTCTTTCACTCCAGATTTGCCTGTTGGCCTCAGTCATTGCAAAAGAGTTACCAAGGACATCAGACAGACACTTTACTACACCTAGCAAGAGTCCCTCTGCCTGCCTCAGCCACACTGGGAAAAGCCAGCCCACCTCCTGCCTCCAAAGTAAGGATCAGAGTGAGTGGAGGAGCAGGTATTACTGGAAAGGAAGGGCACAAAAGAGCAGAGAAGGAAGTGGGGATCTGAGCAGTAGAAGCAGGAGGAACACATCCAGTTCTCTCAGTCTTCCTGTGAGCTCTCCATCTTGCTGGAAGCTACAGCTTGCCCCCTGCTCCCAGTACAGTACTTTCCCTACTTTGCTGAGAAACCTTAAGCAGTAAGTCAAGACAACAAGCATCTCCTGTTACTTCTGTGAGAGCTAAGGCTTGGAGGAAGGCCTCCAAAAGACACTGTGAGCAGCAAGAAAAGCGCCTTCCTGACCTGGAAAGCTCCTCAAGGCAAAACAACTAGTAACTCTCAGATTAGTGCAGAAGCTGTTTGCCCTATTGCTTAACAGGAGGAGTCCTGTAAAGGCCTCTCCTTGCATCAACATGGTATTTCTCCCAGACAAGTCTTCTACCCGTCAGTTCTACTCCAGCACAGCTCAGGAAACAGAGACTAGTTCATAGGTCAT